TTGGCTACTGTCTCCAAATTTTACCCCATGATAAACGTGGGTAAATTGGAAAATGAATTGCGATGTATATACACCAATCAAACTTTTTTGAACATCACATCAACTTGCGCGCTCTATGGGTTCCTCATAGATAACACTCTAGTGACTACCTTTGCGGCGTCTGCAAAATTTCTGGACATCATTTTGACGACGCCTATTTCTTCCGCCGACGCAGAGCGAACATTCAGCACGCTGAAGCGTATTAAAACGTATCTCAGAAATGAAGCAAGATAGACTAAATTCCTTGGCTGTTTTATCCATTCACAGAGACGTTATTTCTGGGATGCATGACTTTAATCAGCGCGTTATTGAGCGTTTTGCTTCCAAGAAACCGCGGCGTGTTGCATAAATGTTCAAGCAGTAGAAGTCTAGCAGCATATATATCTATGAGTGAGCGACGCATGTCCTTATCTTTGCATTAACTTTCCTTTCCTTATAGTAACGTTTTAAACCTTATTTTAGGTTTTGTCTGCTTTCCCGAAGTTTCTGTTAATATGTCATTGTATTTATCTGGGTAAATATTGCCTTTCCTTTTGAAAGAGGTTTCAAAATAAACTATGTCTATATTTATTAATCCCTTGACTTGGACCGGTTTTAAAGACACTTTCTTATCGTTAAAAATTGTCGCTTTTGCCGATTGGTTGTTACCGATGGAATGGTTTTTATACTCATAAAATAATGGGAGAACTTACAGCGCTCATCCTGTCCCCGTAGATAGGGGTGACTTGGTCCCGCAGTAGCTTGCCCCGGTTGTCAAAATGACCACGCGCAGCCACTGGTGTTTGTACAATAAAAGTGTTTGTTTTGTATTGTACTGTTTACCTATTATTGGCACTATTGTGGCCGTGAACAAAGCAAAAATAATTTTGTGGCCCTCTGAGCCGACAACATTGGACCACGCTGGTATATATGTTACTGACGATATAAAATTCATTAAACAAAAACTCAGTGGCCTTGCCACAGCATGAAGGCCATGTTTTGAAAATATGATATAATTTATTCTACAGCATATGCAAACATTTTTGCTACTACTATGTCAATCATCAGGATGAGTAAAAAATGCTAATCTCAGATTTTATGTTATTTTTGTATATTATTTTCATTTACTTTGCAGTTTCAAATTTTATGCAATACTTTCAACAGGCAACTGGCGATAAAGAGTTTGAAGAGGTATATGAACAGGTCAAAAGGTCGTGTTCTGGCTTTTTGGATTCTCTTTGACACTTATCGATCCATATTTTCATGAGTTCAGATCCTATGCCGTTCACAGCTTCTTCCTATCACATTTAATTCTTGTTTCGTTTTTATGAATATGTTGCTAATTGAATTAGTTTCAACTGTGTGTATTTGTGGCCCGAATTTAGTTGGGTTAATGCGCGACTGGAATATATGCATAATTTATTCATAGAATCAAATTGTTTCTTACATGCTAATATGAAAGAGGCCAACAGCTAGAAAATCGATTCATTTCATTCTCATTTACCTATACTAAAAATTCAATATAAACACATTGGGAAAATATGTATTGTGTCGAAGAGTATATCAAATAGTCCAAGAAATCTATGTGACGCAACAAAATAATGAAAGATTTTATAAGGTCGGATTTGCTTTTATGATTACAATCAGGAGACATTTATGATCTAGGACAGTGGTTCTTAAAGTATGGGTCGCGGAAGGTTTAAAAATGGGTCGCGACAAGGTCGTCAATGCAAGTGAAATCTAAGAGAAGGAAGAATTTTCAGCTTTCCCAATGTTTCAATTTAGCTTCTAAACTCTGGTATTTAAAAACAAGAGAGCTACGCACAAATATATGGACACGTTAGACCAGAGCGAATCAGTCCTTACCGGTGGTACCTTTGACGCTACCGTTACCCTCAAAAAAGTTCTGAATTTCCAGTAGCAAGAATTTTGCAGAATCAAAACGTACAGCCAGTCATGACACTGACTAAAATCCATGTTCCCATGGATAAAAAATAGTACAGCAAAATTTTAGACGAAATATCAAATTTCATAGAATTCACGCAAAATTTTGAAATAAATAAAAGTAATAGCCTTCTAGCAAAAAAATTAATCTTTAACCACTGAAAATTTCAAAGCAATTGGTCCAGTATTCGAAGAGAAAAGCGACTTTTTAAAAACGTGTCAAAGAACAACAACAACAGAATATTGAAACGATCGTTATGTCCACTACGTGTCCAATAATGAAATATATAATGGTATCGGTAACCATGCACGTCGCTTGTCGTTGTGTCGACCGCGTGGAATGTCGTCTTAGTGGATTAAAATAACCAAAAATGGGTGTCTTTTTGGTGTAATGTAAATTGTAATAGATGACGCAATGAAAAAGCTCGCTTCTCGACATTAGATTATTCAATATCTAGAGAAAATGTGACTTCGTCTCGAGGCACAATTTACCGCGAACGAAGCAGTGTGTGCACATTTGATGAGTAAAAAGTTGTATATTGCGAGAGATACCGATGGCCAGCTAGGATGTCGTGTTTGCGGCGGACGCCTTTTCTGCTACAATTCGCGACAAGGCACTTGTGCGAGCGAGGATATTTGGCACTGACGGTTATCAAAACTAAGCTCGCAATCGCCTCGATACCCGTGACAACTTGCGTATTGCGTTAAGTAAAATAGAGCTGTGTATTGAAGATATAATGAAAAGGAAATTTCAGTTTCATCAATCTCACTGAGTCAATGGACTGTTTCTAATAAATAGTTGTCTGTATTTGAGTCAAACTGTACTAACATTGAAAACACATTTTGCGTTATTTAGGATTGGGTCGCGAGTATTCATAAAACTCAGATTTGGGTCGCGCTCGAAAAAGTTTAAGAACCACTGATCTAGGACGACACTCAATAAATTAAATTCGGGGCGCTGCAGAAAAGACTGAAGAAGCTCCTGGTGCTCCTTTAGTTTTGAATAAAAGAAATATCCCGGATATAGTGACGGAGATAAAAGAAAGTTGGACTAAATTAAAACGAGTGTGTAAGTCAAATGTTTATACCGTGAGCCGATATTCTGATTCGTGTGACGTTTCGAGTACAAGGTGTCTCTTTAGTGATTCAACAGGAACCGGTGTCCAAGTATATTATGTATAAGTTTTAATGGTGTCTCATATTTTCAACCCGTTAATTTAGAATTATGTACATACGAACGTTTCACGTTGCCTGCGGGCAGTACGTACCGTATTTAAGCATATTCAAGGATGGTTCACGAAATCGAGGGTCGGTTACGGCTCCCTCGTACAAATCAGTATTTTTCTCTCTCACCATACTGAAAATGCACTTTGTACGAACAATATATTGAAAAAACAAAAAATGCCATGTCCATAATAAGTAAGTCCATGCATCTGATACAGTTAACTTGTTAACACGAAAGGGCGAGAGGCCGTGGTTCGCCCTATGATTAAGCCGTTTTAATGTTGCTCCTCTCCCCCGGAATAAATATGCACCGTTTCAGTTTGAGCGTGACTTGTGTAAATTGTAGCCCCGTCAATTATCTACTTTAAGAAAGTTTTAATTTTGTTCAATCATAAATTTATTTTGTTTGTGAAAGACTGATATTGCGCACCAAAAGCAAATACGGTAACTTTAAAGGCCAGATCTTTTATCACCCCCGAACTCCCAATTAGAGACTCCGTCCACTATCGTAAATTCCGTTTGTTTTCTTCTCGGGCGCTAGATTCGAACAAACTACTTGCAGGTAGGTGGTACATGCGGGGATGGATTTCTGCTGTATTGGCTGCCATAAAGTATATAACGTGATCCTTATTCTGATAGTCGGCACTTTGGATAATACTGAAAACAAAAAATGTATCTTCAAATAGGGATTAATTAAAAGCTAAGAATGGTTGAAAACTGTAATTTAATGTTTATAATCCTATACTTTTTTTTTCGTACGGTAATACTGTAATATCAGATTATTTATTTTGTTTGTATCAACGTAGTTCAGTAGTTTGTCTTGACAAGTAAATAAATGATTGTTTGGATAGTAGAAAAGAATCGCTGCATTGGAAGTGGGAAACGCTAAATCACAGTACTGCAGTAGGGTGGCTTACCCACTTTGCGGCCACGACCTATTTGCGGCCATCAACTTCATCAATCTAATTAATGCCCAAAAAATTAATGAACCGCGACGATATTTCTCACGCTTTATCGTCCCTCATAGCTCTGCGAAATTACACTGAAAAAATGCGGCCTCAAACAAAAAAGCGATGCGGTGCTTTGTATATAATTTGACGAGTTTTTGTTCGAAATGACCGTGTTCCTAAATATATTACGGTCAGAAATGCAATTAGAAGCCCAATTTTTTCACGCATGGCTACGTATGCTCTAGTCTCGACGCAGCAGAAATGATGTTTGAAGGCTTGAAATACGTGGTCGCACACTGGTCGTTCGGTCGCAAATACGTCTTCCGAGTGTTGTACTTTGGTGGTTTGTATAGCTTTAACCCCTGGTCGTAGAAAGTTAATTCGAGGTTTAGCGTGTAGAATAAATGCCAATGCACCTACGGTGAAAAAATTAACGGGTTAGAAATATTGATTTTTGTTTTATAGCAGTTTGAATGCAATCGTCCGCAGACTGGCTACACCACCCTACAGCGGTATTATAAGATAAAAAAATGGAATTATTGTTGGCATGCTATTGTATTGTATATTGTATAGGGTATAAAAATGTTAACCAACAAGAGGTGTAAATCCAACTCCTGTCACTTTTTCGCCACAAAAATACTGATTTTGTCACTATATTCTGATATTGCAAAATATTATAAATATGAATAAATCATTCATATCTTTGTATCTACAATTATCTTGGTGAACTGAACTCAGATTGTTATCGGATTATGCCCAATGGGCAGTGGCATAATAAAAGATCCTAAGCAAAGGTTCATACTTTTGTAATACAGTGAAAATATACTCATCCTCCTTCTTTTCAATCGAAAGAATGCTTCCGCTCCTTTCTCTTCTGCTCGACCAAGGTCTTATCTCCTTGGCGAGGGGCGTAGCCAGGAATTTTCAAAGGGCGGGTTCTGAAATTGCCAAGTTAAACTATTTTCTGAATTTGTATTATGTATTTTCAACCTGGCGAGACATCTACAATTCCAACTATATGAATGTCTAATGCATATCCCATATTGTAGTAGCTTCATTATAACTGTGCAATTTTCTATTGAGAATATAATTTGATACATTTTCCAATTATTGTATTCACTATCTTATATTTTACTAAAATGTACTTTTGTTTTATTCCAGAGGTTATGACTAAATGGCAAACAGTGTATAAATCATCATAGATAGTATATCATAGATAGACTCATTATGACTTCTCAGGCATCTGGACGTACCGCTATTATGCTGCATCCTTCATTACCCACAATAAAAGAAACCACTTTATCATGGTTGGGTTCTGAATTAGAAAGTTCTCTTTTTGCGACCGGTGAAGGAGATGATAGAAATCCTGGTTTATCAAATCCAGTGCTGACAGAAAATGTCCAGAGATATATTGATTTCGATGACCAATGCCTAAGCATGAAAAGTGGTGAAGGCAGCACTAGTGAATTTTCCGGCATTCAACCTTTTCCAGTTGGAAGCGATGATACTCCACCAATGGCTATGAATGAATTCAATAGAAACATGCAAAAGAATTTTAAAATTCTTTTATCAGAGTCTGAAAGTCTTCCGAAACCTTTTATTGAAAGTGACGAAGATGATCAGCTGGAAGAAGGTGAGATTGATACTGAAAATGAGCCTCAATCCCAGCGCACACAAAACGGTGATCTATCTCAAATTGATCCTCTGTTAGGAATACTCAATTCCAAAATAATGGAGGGTGATATAGGCAAACTGATTGGACAAGGAGATGACCAGGCTATAGAAAAAATTCAGCTTATAAAATTATGGCAAATGATGCAGCAAGAGGAATTGCGAAAGAGGCAGGAGGCTGAAATTGCAATGCTGAATGCTCAAAGAGAAAAAATGAAACTTGATAGACAGGAATGTCAAACTATAGCTCTGGAAAAAGTTGTTTCTGATGTTGATTTTTATATTGAAAAAGAAGATGTAGAAACTGGCAGTTTGGAGTATTCCGAGACCATTCAATCAAGCGACCGACTTGGTTCTTGGGACAACTGCTCACAGCCAAAATTTGATGACGTTCAAGTCGAGGGACAAAAAAGGTCATTTGAGCAAATTCTCGAAGATGAGATGAAAAAGGAAGAGGAAAAGCGGGAGAAAAATAATAAAGCTAAAGCCCCTATCAAAAGACCTTTTTTAAAAAAGGGTCAAGGACTATCAAGATTCAAAGGACCTCCGCAACGTAAAGTTCCAAAGCCTATTAATAAGGATAAGAATATGCCTAAACCAGCGTGTCAAAATATTGTTTCGAAATCTGAGAACAAAGCTCAAGAGAGAAAAAGTGGGAAAAATGTATTAACAAAAAAGCCACCAGTCAACGGGGTTGTACCGAAGATACAAAGTCATATTGTAAAACAGACACAAGGTCGTACAAAGCAATCATATCCTTCAGAACGAGAATTGCAAACAAAAGACAGAGATTACCATATTGATGATGTGGATTTAGAAGAGTTTGAGATGCTGGAGCGGTATGCTGAGGATGATGCATCTTTCTTTAATGAACCATCCTTAATTGTGTCTGTTTTACAACAAGAACATGATGTTAATAATGATAGAGAGAAACTGGAGAATCGTCTGTCTTTGAGAGAGAGAGTTCGTGAGCGAAGAAAAATGAGAGAGAAAGCTAGAGCGAAAATTCAAGATGATCCAAAATTTAGTGTGTTGCAGGTTGGGAACATACATGCTCCACCACCTTTGATAACACCAGAACCTGATATTTCATCACAGGAGATCATGGAAAATGCAATTCTTTCACCTACACCTCCAAAATCACTTTATCGATCTCCCGAACGACAAAAAATAAAGTTGATTCAAAGAAAAACGGCCAGCTTGGTAAAACGTGAGAAATTGGTGCATCCTCTCCCACAACCTGCTGTTGTCGCCCCTCCAAATCAATGTAATAATTTTTCTCTTAATAATGCTAATTTTCAACTATGTTCATCTCCGAACATAGCTTTTTCACCTCATAGCCGGAACATGGTTGCACCAGGTTCTAACAATGGAAAATCAGCAACTGAAGATCGTTTGATTCAGAAACAAGATTCTGAACAAGAGAATGAGTTTCAAGATGATCAAACATGGGGCGATCTCAATGATACTGCCCTGAATACAACTTTACCTACTTCTGACCCTGCAGATAATGTTGAAAGATGTGTTGCTAATGCTTTCGATTCACCACGAGCTTATAAAGTTACAGATTACATGGAGCCAGAAAATGAAGATATAGAAAACCCAGTTCGTGATACAGAATCTAAAGTTTCTAATAATTTATTATCTCTGTCACCACCTCCACCTCCAACAAGCTTGATGCAAAAACTGTTTCCTGGTCTTAAAGTTCCAAAATCTTCTTTAGCTAAAATTGATTCCAAATCTGTTCAACATGAACCTGAAAAAGAAGTATCTGATGGAGAGGATGTAACAATGCAAGAGCCTTCACAAGCTTCTGCCTTGAAACAGAAATTACTGGAGTTAGAAAGTGAGATTGCTAAATTTAAAAAAGAAAACGAGTCACTGGAAAATCTCAGGAAAAAACAGGAGGAAAATTTTAAGACATTGGAAAAAGAAATGCTTGAATTTAAGAATCAAAAAGAAGATGAATTAGCCAGACTGGAAGAATATAGAAAAACTGAGACTAAGAAACTGAAAAAAGAGAGAAAATTATTCGAGGAACATGTTCTTGCTACACGGATGATGCCACGAAAAGAAGAGAGAGAAGAAATACAAAAATTACAAGAAGAAATTGAGGTTCTTCGAAACGATAATAAGACGAAAGAACAAAAATGGATTTCTTCAAACAACAGAATGCGCAATCAAGTTGAGAGATTGGAGGCCGAGAATAAACAATTGCAACAACGCATCAATGAAACTGAAGCTCAGCGGTTAAAAGAGTGGAATGCTATGAAGTCGAATCAGCCAAAGAAATCATCAGTGTGGAAAACAGTAAACAAAATTGTAGAATCATCTGATATAGTCACAGAGGCTGGCAATATTGATCAACCCATTTCTAGTAAATCGAATCTCAGTAATTCACATGATAGCGTTTTGTCTAAAAAGCCAACAAGTGTGGAATATTCCAGACCAGTCAAAGAAGGAAAATCAAATAAAGGTCTTATAGCAGAGGTTGCATTCTCAAATCTGAAGAATACAATAGAACAGTCAAAGTCTTCGGATATATCCGCAGAAATGATGCACAAAGATGGAAAGGTTGAGAAAACACAGAAAGATGGAAGCAAAATTGTCATTTTTCCGAATGGGACTCAAAAAGAAGTTTCTGGAGATGGACAAACTGTGAAGGTTAGTATCACTCTTTCTCACATTTTACACATGATTTACCGAGTATGAAGATTTGTTCTTTTTGTGCTTTCAAGGTACGCTTTGCGAATGGAGATATCAAGCAAATATATGGAGATGGTTCGATAGTTTATTTTTATGAAGAAAATGGTACTACACATACAACTCATCGTGATGGTCTTCAGGTAGTATTGCTTGTATTATTTCATGTAAAGAAAACATTTTTTATCGAAAGACAGGAATTCAATATTTAATATTGCATACCCCAGCAGTTCTTCCACATAAGGATCTGAAAATAGATAAAAAGAAGCTAACCAGCTGAGAGGTGGCTGTATAAGACCAGTGATAACATGAAGCAAAGATGGTAGCAGCCCCAGCATGTTGGTTCATAAAAACAACAACTGATCACTGTTGCTACAAACCAGCTTATTATTGTTACTTTTCGAGCATGGTTCATATGTGGGAAAATAAAAGGACATGTCCATGCTTGTCTTTAAATAAACACATTTAATTGTTGTAAATTGGAAGTGAATACCTGCTTTGTTGATAATCTAGTTAACACAATTAGTAAACCATGCTTTGTCGACACACTAAAACAAAGTAACATGATCTCCTTGAATGTTCTGTTGACAGATCAGATGTTTTAACAGTTAGGAGCCAGAATGTTCAAAACAAAACATATTTTGAACATTTAAAAATAATTTTTTATATTATGCACCCTAAATGTAATAATCTTTGTTTAAATGCTTTATATGAAGTTAATTCCAATGAAACTAAATGAAAAATGGGTGCTCTCGTAGTCTGTGTACCAGGTAAGGGCGGTCCATAATTTTATTCAGATTTTCCTTATTTTAGTTTTATTATAAGTTCAGGGACTGTCTGTGTTAGCCAAGTGAATATACCCTCTGCCCATAAGTTTCAATCCCTCTAAACAACTTGATGTGAAGTAGTCGAACAAAATTAGTTACCGGTACTTCCATATCAGTACACACACTTCTGAAGTGCCGAAAAATGTATATGCATCTTAAATTGTCAATTGTTCCAGCATACCCATTTCACCTAGCTCCAATTTCATACTCGCCACCAAATCTTATCTGAATTCTTTTGTAAATCATTCAATTTTGTTTTTCAAAGGTTTTTGAGTTTCCGAACAAGCAAGTTGAGCACCACTTCCCTGATGGAACAAAGCAGATCACGTTTCCTGATCAAACTGTCAAATATCTACACACAGATGGTACTGAACAAACTGTGTTTCCTGATGGTACAGAAATGCATATTTCAACAAACAAAGACAAAACAATTGTATTTGCAAATGGCCAACGTGAAATTCATACAATTGATTTTAAGAAAAGAGAATATCCTGATGGTACAAGCAAAACTGTTTTTAGTGATGGAAGGCAAGAAACGAGGTTAGTAGTTTGCATATATTCTTGGGGACTCCTGAGGTATGCGCACCAAGAAATCGCATAACCCGAACCGTAACCTGGTACACAACCATAGTTCAGGTTGTGCGCCATCTTGGTGCGCATACTTCAGGAGGTCCTATTCTTGATGTCTGTTGTTAACTTTGTGCCGCAATATGTGATGTTAAAATTGATTATTGTATTCTCCCTCAGGTATGCTTCTGGAAGATTGAGGGTTAAAGATGCTCATGGCAATGTTATCATCGATAGGATGACTGTGTCTGATGGAATGCATTGAAATTTGATTACAAGTTTCTTTGGAATAGCGCTAGTGAATTAAACTTGAAGATGTTTGGAGCAAGATGAGCTTGAGAAACCCATTTATGTGTGTAAACAAAATTGTGTTTATTTATTGTGAATGAATTTCATATCCATGTCTTTGAATATATTTTGTACAAAAATCCATGGGTGGGTGATTCATATGCTATAATTAGGTGTTGTCGATATGTTGATTTCATTGATATCTGTGGTCTGTAGACAGTGTAGAGGGATTTCGTTGATACTGTAATAGCATTTTAGGGAAGGTTGAGATTGATAGGTTGTTTGTTTTGAAATAATCAAGTAGTCGGACACAACTGTTTTAATGATGATACAGTTAAAACTATGATGAATCAAGGTCGTAAGTATAACTTACAACACGATTTTAATCGTACCATTTAAACGTTTTGAAAAATGATCTGAAGTTGAGTGTAATTGCCATAATGCTAAATGGTGATGACTATTCCAAATTGAGCACATGATTAAACTAAAGCATCACTATACTAAAAATCGCCTTTCTCCGCAACTAATTGGCCAGTTGATTTCAAATCTTGAAGATCGAAGAAGTCGTTGGAAGGCTACTCCTTTTTTCAATTTCCCACCCAGTCCGACGGCGCCTATGGTGCGCTCGATCAAATTTCTAATAATTCTGTCGTACATATCAAAAGATCCGTTGGTTTTGTGGTTTGGAGAGTGTTGGAAAATGTATTGATACCCCACTTGCAATCTGCGCTTCCTACTGAGTTTTTTAATGAAGGCAGATGCTTTAAAAGTCGTTAAAACCTTGTAATGCTGTAAGGCTATTATTTGAAGATGAAAGATGTGATACTGACCATGACCGTAAATCAGCAACTCATTCATTGCTGGCAAGCTGGTAGATGTCCCTCTTTCCTTCGAGAAATGTTTTAATCTCAGGAATAAGGTCATAAAATTCTTTAAGGTATGTCATTCGGTTGACTAATTGCTGTTAACATAACAGCAATGTGGTCAGCATCAACATCAGAATTATCATGGAAAATTATCAATTTTCGCTGGGAGAATAGTTTAGTTTAGGGCCGCGGTTGAAAATCGATGCTGCAGTGAAAACGGTGGGGACGGACTAAAAGTAGGCACTTGAAAATAAGGCACTTTTTACACTCAAATGCATACACTCGAAATTAACCCCCAGTAGCTAGTATATATGAACGTAAATGAATACTAATGATATGAATAATATTATTTATTTCATCCTGACTTACCGGTAATTGTTGATAAACTTCATTTTCTTATTTTTTCGAAGTGCCCAAATATGTGGCTAACTATAGGCTCAAATGCTTTCACGGGATACTAGGTACCGTAACTAGTATGGCTAATATATTTTTATTTCATGATATTTTTCTGGTGAAAATTCTCATTTTCATCGAAGTACCTAAATAAGTGCCTAACTGCCTAACATATATGGTGATCAAGCGCGTGCGACCCGTAATACTCATTGAGGTGTATGGTATTACTACGTTTCAAGCCTCATTATTGAGTTTTTGCTCGCTGCACTTCCCATGTTCAGTATTCAATTAAGCTAAACTAATTCATAGCGGTATCTTTTTAAAAGTTATTACATCCATTTTCTATTATATTTTCCGAGTACCTAATTTTCAAGTGCTCACATTTTTAGTTCGCTCGAACGGTGTAAACTACTGCTGTACTCTGTAGTAGTTGCGACTGTGCAGGATACCAGTATTGTATTATCAGATTGTACAATTTTAACTTTATACTAGTGTCGGCTGACGAGTATTTCCGTACCGTACCGGGAAGCAGTGTGCGGGACAGCAGGGTAGAATTTAATTCCAAGCCACAGTATACATACAAACATACTTAAGATTTTGGGTCACTATTGATAATTAGTGTTAGTTAGAACAAAGTTAATTTTCTGACCATCATTGGCAAATGCTAACAATTACAAATTTTCATATAGAGAAATAAGAACTTTCTGAATTCGAACTAATTTCATTACCTAATAAGCAGTGCCCGAAATTAGATTTTATGTTTGTTGTTTACTTTTTACAGTTTTAGCTTTGTTTGTTTACAAAAAAGAAGCAGCTTACCATTTGAATGTTATTGTTAGTATTCCTGTATTCACATTTCCGCAGGGGCAGGGTCACATAACTTCTAATTGTTTCTTGTATTCTTGACGAATTTCACACATTCAAATTTTTTACAACTTCACATGTCCAAAAGTAAGCTTTGCCTGTAAATTTTATTTTCTCGTGTTCATTTACCGGTACGCTGTCCATTAATTTATTCTAGTATGATTGTCGTGATGTGATGTGTTTTCACTTGTTTGAGTGTGGGTGAATGGGCACAAATCTTTATGTAGGTTTGGCCTATTTTTTTCATTTGTTCTGTGTTGTAGACAAAAGATCGAAATAGAATTGTACTGTATATAATATAAACTATCAGTACTGATTTGGCATTTTTGAGATTGCACTACAATATCAGGTGGCCCATGCTTTGCGTGAGTGGTAAATGTCTGTGTTTTTTTGCCTAATTGCTAAGATTGGGTCTATCGAATTACATGTCGTGTATGAAGTGCTATTTCATTCCTTTAAAAAAAACATGAAAGTTTTGTATTTTTGTTTGGCATTATTATTACCCCTAAGATTGTATGTCAAGGTAGCATGACTTAGAAGCATTGACTTTGAGCTGCCCAATCCTTACAGAACAATGAAATCAATCCTGTCTTTTTTTGTAGAGTCACTGATCTTGAAACCTTTTTTTCAGATTTTTATTGTTCAAATGCTCCTGCCATTGTGGTAGGTTTTACATAGATAAATATTTTTTTTATTATTTATGCGCGCATAAGCATGAAAAATTCAGATAGTGAGGCAGAAGGAGAACTTCTTATTGATGAAAGTGAACAGACAACAAAGAAAACCAGACGTCGACGAAAACAAGGACCTGTGGCTAAGATTTCTAATGCTAAAAAGAAGTCTGACCTCAAATTAGTGGTTAAAACTACTCCATCACAGGTATTATGAAAGAATGAAACAATTGACCCAAAGTAGTTGAAATGCAATGTCAGAATATGTTTAATCATCATTCATGGTGTGTGGCATGTTTATAAATATTTTCATTCCAAACAATCTTTCAATATACGTGCATAAAAATTGTATTCTCACTACGATTGCTTTTTTTGACAGGCAAATTCTGATGAAAGCAAAACTATTACTGATGCTGAAGAATTGAAAACAACTGCTACTAGAACATCAACAAGAATTAGAAATAGAGTTCGAAGACATTCGCCTTCACCCATATCTGTAAAAAAAGAGCCCCCCAAAAAAAGGCTTAGGGTAAAGATAAAAAATGTACGCAAATCAAAAAAACTGCCCAAGATAACATCTTCTGGTGATGTCGAAATCAAACAAGAGAAACTTGAAACAGGTGAGAATGTGGATATTGTAAACATCAGTGATGAAGAATTATCAGATACCCAGTATCCTTCCATTCCTGAAATAAAATTGCGAGATACACCCAAAAAATACACAAAACAGGCCAGCAAAACAGGAATTAAGTTAAAGTTATCACTTGGCAAAGTATTAAGCTCTAAAGTGGCCGAATGCATTGTTGAAGAGGCTGTAATGAAAACCATTCCGCATGAGCCCCTGGAATTGAAAGAGAACATTATAAAACCCTTGATAATATCAAAACAACGGGTTTCAGCTGAAGTTGTAGAAAACAGTGACCAGCAAGACACCAATACCTCTGAGCACATGGACACTGTTGATAATAATCATGTTGCACAGTCACAGTATTATTCATCAAGTTCTGAAAATCACAAACCCCTCACATTGAGACTTTCGGTTGGAAAGCAAAAGTCTGTAACCAAAACAAATGAAATTAAAGACTCCGGAGATTCTAACCCTCAAGTATTTCCTAATATTCGTCGAAGTTGGAGCACAGTGGCTTCAAAAGGCAATGATGCGGTTGAAACTAACTCAAATGATTTAAAGCAGCATCCAGTAAAAGAAGATGTGAGCAAAAAGAATGAAATCGAATCATGGATGACTGGAAAACCTTGCAATCCACCTTCAAATTTGCCGAAAAAAACTTTTTTCAGTCTTGGCTTGCAGTCATTGCTTGATGTTGTGTCAGTTGAACTTAATGAACAGAAGAAGTCTAGTCCAGGTGAAGGGCTAACAAGTAAACAATTTAATCCATCTTCAACGTCAAGACAGCATGGGTCACATCCTGCTTCTACTGGAGAGTCCGAAGGGCACTTGCCATCCTTGACCTTTCCAAAACCTGCATTGCATTTTTCGACTAAAAAAAGGCAGAGGTCTAAGTCAGTCGTTCATGTATCGAATCCGCAACTTACAACAGAAGATTTGCCGAAAAATATTTTATCTGAAATCGAGCAACCCCACAAAGAAGAAGCAAATGAGGAAGAGGATTGTGTCTTGACGGAAAAAGAAAGAAGACGGCACGATAAGAAAAAAAACCTTGATGCAGATTTTGTTGACCCTGATGCATTAATGAAAGATGAAGAAGCAGAAATACCAAAAATAGCACGGAAGAAGCATGTTTCACTAGCACCACGTCATATCAATGATACTGGCGGTCTTTCGCTTTTAATGCCACAGATGACTTCAACACATAATGAGTCAGACAAGCCAAAGTTGTTGCAAACGAAAGGTGCTTGTCATCCTCCAGTCAGGAATATTGTTAGAAAGCCTAAAAAAGGTATGGCAACTGCAAAGCAGCGTCTGGCAAACAAGCTGAAGTTGGGCAGAACCCATGCCTTTTGAATGTACAATTTCTGTTGCAATTACTCGTAAAACTTTGGGCGATCTGTTTTTAGCCTCATTACTGATAACCTGCCATGATTGCTAACACACTATATTTGCAGTTTTAAATCTTGTTTTTATGATCTGTAAGCTTGTGTTTTATAACCGTTTTATTCAAAATAAATCCAATATTTTTTGAAAGCATTGTTAATGTTGTTCAATAGTAACAATGATCAGACATGTTTAGCTAGCCAGATTCAGTGAAATGATAATTCTTGATAGAGAATAAGGTTAGAAGTAACCACTACTTCATCTATCTACCCTTGAAACGAAATTTTGTGTGATGCAATAGATCATCAGAAATATGGGTACTCC